AAAGGGCTAGGAAGCGATGGCATTGGAAACGCAGTCGCCGCGAATCGGAGTTCAGTGAACCATCGTAAGCTGACACCCGTCTCGGCTGCATTGGGGGGTGAGGGGTGGGGGGTGTGTGGGATGAGACGGTGCTGGGAGTCGCAGTCCACTGCACTGGTTTGAAAACAATGGCCGTCACCTGATGACTGGTCCTCATGTTCTGGGGATGCAGTAGACGTGGGGGGGGGGGGAAGAGCAAACAGGAAGTTGTTTGCGTACTGTGGAATACTGGGGATATTCGGATTTTTTCATTCACTTGATGGCCCATGACGTAAGTACCATATGTTTTACTGCCTTGTACTGTCAAACCGAACTAGGTTAATTATTTTTTTTCCTCTTCAAAAAATAAAAAGGAGCCGGAGTCGCCCCCTTTTTTGGCGGCTCCGGCTCCGGCTCCGGCTCCGGGCTATATTGTTTCACGGCTCCGGCTCCGGCTCCGGCTCCCGGCAAAATATGCCGGCTCCGGCGGCTCCGGCTCCGACTCCGGCTCCGGCTCCGCATCCCTGCTATTAGGTAAACAAGATACCTAAACACGTGAAAACAGTGAGAGGTACTAATCGGGTATATCAATATGCTCACATTGCATCCATGTTTCGTTTATGCATTTGTTTTTATGCGCATCGACGCCTTGGAGTAAAAATTCGTTTGCCTTTTCGCTTTTGCCGCCCCCCCCCCCCAGTACCTAGTGACATTTTTACCCTGACTGGGGGGGGGGGGGGCAGGCCAGTGACTGCAGGGGTTTGCCCCCCCCCCACACCCCCAGTTAACATGTTAGACGAGGCCCTGCTACGATGTAGGGGTTGACGGTAGGTAGCCGTACCAAGGTCAAACCAATTAAGGTATTGACATGAATAGCATCAGTCTCTATTAATTTATGTTTAAATCAAAGCGTCAACGTGTAGTCATCATCATTGCCTCAATGCTTTAATGTATCACCGACCGACCGATCTCCCTGATGCCATTTTCCCCTCCAAAACTGAGTCCATAGTGGCGGTTCGAGTTAAGCTGGAAAGTAGAGACTTCTCTTAGATCATGATAATAATATAAAAATAACCAGTAACCTCATAATATAAACCAGTATAACGCCTTTTGTGGACTAACGGAGCGAGCGAGAGGGTGGGCCTTGCACGTGCGAAATTGCGAGGGGTACCTCCAACTGACTTGTGCACGGCACCTTACTAACCGGTCTCTAGCGATGTGCCAAATTTGAGCACAATCGGCCCAGCCGTTCTCGAGATTTGGAAGCGGCACCCTGCACGTGCGCACGTGCAAAATGGGTCCCAACTGACTTGTGCATGGCACCCTACTAACTGCTCCGTAACCGTGTACCAAATTTGAGCGCAATCGGTCCAGCCGTTCTCGAGATCTGGAAACGACCCCTGCACGTGCGCACGTGCAGCAGCACCCCAACTCTGGCACCTGGATACGCATTGCCTAGTGGATGCCTACCTAAATGCCAACTCTCAGCGCAATCGGCCCAGTAGTTACCGAGATATTGCAACAATTACAAAAGTGACACCTCTTCGTTTTGCACGTGGCACGTGCATAAGGGGTCACCCACATGCATCGGGAATAGTGCAATACTTGGTAGAAGGAATGAAGCTACCCTACAAAAATTACCGCATGTAAATCGGTCAAGTGGTTGCTGAGATATAAGCCTCGCAAAAGCGTGACCACGGCCGGCCGGCCGGCCGGCCGTGGTCACGCCGTGGCCGCTCACGTGGGCACGCCGTGGCCGCCGTGGCCGCTCATACTCAGAAATTTCCGTTAATCTAAGGAAAGACGCATAGTCATACCTATCTCTCGCTTCGCTCGCTCCGTAATCAGAAATAGGATCCAAAAAGTTATATCTAAAGTTATCGAATATTTCGCTCCTGAAGCTTCGTCAGCGATAATTATAGAAAAACATATGAGCTTTTTAAGAAGCTTCTCTTAGATCCCTAGATCTTCTGGTGAACCAGTCTCCGTAAAAAACTGGTTTTAGGGTACCTCGTGCAACTTTAGTTAGCACCTGGGCGCCTATAACCCCACAATACCGTGGCCCTGGCCTTTTGAACAGGAACCAAGAGGGGCGAAAAGGAGGCACTGTCTTTCGCGCTTATGAGACCGTTTTGGGATTTAGGCGAGTGTTTCATCTCGATCATGAATTAGTCCACATGACCTTACTGGTGTCCTCAGCGCTCCGTTTTTTGAGCCTCAAGCATAGAGTAGGAAAGTCATAAGCATGTATTCCGTTTTTTATATCATATGTATTCCGTTTTTTTTTTTCGAAAAGTCAAAAAGTTTTTGAAAAAGATAAAAATACAAATTTTGAATTTAAATATAAACATTTTTTTCAAAATTTCCAAAATTTTGAAAATTCGAGATGGCAGTTTGATAGCGCAGTCCATTCGGAGTCCTCTCATGCAAAGAAATTGGATTTAGCTCAAAAACTGAGCTCTTGGGACGGAGCGATTCCCGTGGTTCAGTGTTTTGCGTCGAAATCGGCCGAACATGACGTCACTCTGACGTCATCTCCGGCCGACCTATGATGGATACGAAGTTCAAATTTTGACACAAGATGTCAAATTGATGCAGCCGAAGGTACTGAAAGTGTGGCGGCGATACATCAAGCGGTTTAGAAGTTATTGCTGCATTGCAGTAGAAAAACGGCAGGGGGCTATGAATATTGAATAGCCCCTCCCCCCCCCCCCCCAGTGGGGCGCGGGTTAAGTTGCGAGTTACGCTGAACGTGTTGTAAAACAAGAGTACGCCTAAAAGTAAAATTTAGGTGAGAACGATCTTATGGGACACCCTGTACATGCCAACTTTCAGCGCAATCGGCCCGATATTGCAATTGTTACAAAACTGACACCTCTTCGTTTTGCAAGTAGCACGTGCATAAGGGGTCACCCACATTCATCAGGAATAATCCAATACTTGATAGAAGGAATGAAGCTTCTTTACTAATTACCGCATGTAAATCGGTCAAGTGGTTGCTGAGATATAAGCCTCGCAAAAGCGTGACCATCGATCTTTCAAAGTTTAAAAATCAAGCGTTGGCATCGTGAGAAGCGTTAGGGTGGCCGCTTTGCCCCACTCTCCCCTACAACAAATCTTTTAAACGTCGAGCCGATAGGCGAGACGTTTAAAAGATTTTTCTACCTACGAGCGGTTTAATAATTTTATCCCGTGCCGCCGACATATTTCATGTAATGTCTACTAGACGTTTAACAGTTTGTTAATCGTCACAGTAGACGTTTAACAACTGTTACACGTCTAGAACCTGTTAAACAAATCATTTACTCAACATCTGATAATTTTCTCTCTTAGCACGTGAAGCAATTGTAAATACTGACTACGACGCGGGATAAATGACAGATATAAGACATACCGCTACAAACAAGCATTGTAAAATTCACAAAACGCACCGGCATAGTTTCTAATAACTGCTGAAACAGACTCTTTCCGCAGTCAGGAAATCGCATGCGAGAGCCTATTCAAATTGATTAAATAACGCTCGCATCAATCGTACGCACCTCCCGCATGCGTTTGATGCGGGAAGGATTGTAATGTATTTGAATAGGCTCTCGCATGCGATTTCCTGACTGCGGAAAGCCTGTTTCAGCCTTGACTATTTTATTTGCTTATAAGCAAATAAAATAGTCAAGGCTGAAACAGACTTTGTAAAAAATGTGAAACAGAATGCCACAATCCAGAAATGGCTATATTAAGATGCATTGTTGCTGATTGGGGTAAATAGATGACGAAGACATTGAAAACAGTATTTTTTGCAATGGGTGAATTTATTGAGCTGGGTAGCTTTGCTTGCAAATGCTGAAGGATTGTTTTTTTTTTTAACGGTTCTCCATCCAATCATATACTCCCAAAGCACGTTACTGACGTTAATACGTTTCTGCTTACCTAAATAATAGAGTAGTACCGCCGAAACTGGAATATTAAATGCATTATCTATACAAACGGAACTCATACTCATAACCAGGTGACAACCAAAGTTGGGACGTTTTACCATACCTGTAATTTCACGATCACGAATATCGTGTTAGTTTTGATCAGAGATGATGTCTTTAAGCATTTAGACCAGGTCGGGTCAGGTCAGGTCAGGTCAACCGGTAGGGGTTGTGACGGGTATTCGTAATACGTGTCAACCGCCTCTGACAGCTTCGTAACATGTTACGAAGGCACCAAAACTACTTCGTAAATGTTAAAATGATTGCTAAATTCGAATTCAGCTCCAAAAACTAGGCTAGAAACATGTAAAACTCGAAAAGGTGAACCGAGGTCACCCGAGGTCACCAAAGGTCAATAACCTGACCTGACCTTCAGGTGACCTTGACACCCACCCTAATGTATGGGAGCAACATCAAATCACATGTTTGAACGTTTGAAACCACGAAAAGCTTGCAAACGCGCGGCTAATGCGAGCCGACATACGCCGAATCGCGATTCCGGCCAAACATGGTCTCGGAAAAGAGGTCTCAGGTCAAAGGTCATTGGGGTCAGGGTCATGAAATTTTCAGGGTAGGTGTAAAATTGATCATTGCGAGGGTACTGAAAGTTTCGTCGCGATCAGCCGCTTTTTACGCGAGTTATTCGCGAAAAACCTCATCAACCCCCCACCCCTGTGCCGGCGAAAGATCCGCAATCATAAAATATGGCTCACAGCAGGGCTGAAGCATGGAATACGCAAGCATGACCGGTTATTCACTATTCAGGCTTGCTCAGCGCCACGACTCAGAAAGACATGCAGTTCAGTTCGCCGCCGATGATGACAGCATGGTCGGGTGGTTCGTTCCGCGACAGGGTCCGGCTGCTTTGTGCGGCTCGGCGGGGCGGGAGGGGGGAGGCAGGCGACGCGTCTGACAGGCGACACTTGAGCGTCCCGGGAATCAGCTGTCACCGTGCGGCGCGGCGGGCCGTCCCTCCGACCCTTCCCATTGTTACTTGACTGGGCGCCGGCCGCCGGTCCTCCGGAAGGGTCACTTTGGTATGCGAACTCTTCACCGCACTTGCCCACTGTCAGAGAGTGTACTGAGGTACAGTAGTTTCTAACAGCTCGTTCGATTGGTCTGCCTGCTCAGCCAATCATATTCTGGCAACCTTGGACCTTGGGACCCAACGTCGCTATGGTACTTCCGTATAGCCTGAGGCACCTGGGTACTTATGAATCTTGGGTCCCGTTGGATTCTGGGTCCGACTGTACTTGGGTACATTTGATACACACCCATTGTATCAGCGACATTTTGCCACGAGGGAGTTGCCGAGAATGAGCAGGCACTGATCTATTTGTGTGAAATGAAAGGTGAAAGGTCAGTATTTTTGATTATTGTGCCACTGACAATGATGAGCAGTTGGCCGTGCATATTAAACTGATAAACTGTGGCTAGAAAACTGATATATCGTAGACATTATGTTCGTTGCGGCAATAGTGGCGCGAGTTCCACGTGCCATTGGGGCTGATATTGCTAATTTAGATTATTTACTTTGTATTTCAGCCTTAGATCTAGCACATTGTAAAAACTGGTACATTTCCTCGTGCATTTGGGCAGTGGCAGGAGTAATAGGTTGTACTGTTGTGTGTCACCAGCTGAGCGTGATCCAGCTGAGGCACCAGACGGGAGCCAGTCGAGTGTGAGCCGACTGGCCACTTGTCTCACCGCTGCGCCAGAACACATCTGGTCAGTAATTACTATCTTTATTTGTAACAGAACAAATGCCAGTTGTAACTTGTCATTTCTGCTGATTGAATTTACGTGCATCTGGCAAATGTGCATTTGTATCCGCATTTCATACAATGTGTGAACTGTCCGCATCAATGTCCGCATTTGACCCTTGGTTATGTTGTATGTGTGATTATTGGTTGTTCTTTTGCAGAAAACCACTCTTTGGACTCTTTCTGCACACATATGCTCTGGCTTGCTATCATGTTCCACAATACCATGTCTTTCCTATGTACCTTTTTGTTTCTTTTATTTAGTTGTGCAGGCAAGAGTGCGTTGACAGAGTTTTGGCACGGCAGAGGTGGGCACAGTTTTCAGATGTGTTTTGGCGCAGCGTCAGAAGTTCTCTGAAGTTGTTTGGTCTGATGACGTCAAGTTGAGTTGTACACTACTCAAGTAAGAAACATGTCTGCTCTCAAGAACGAACGTGCCATGAAGAAGGGTGCACTGACACGAACAAGAAGAAGAGCGTTTGTACTGATCGACACTCGTGGTAGCAAAAGAGAGCTGCATGCAGTGTTGAAGGAGCTGGACAATGCTCTACAAGATGTTCTGGAGAAGAACATGGAATACAAGATGAGCTCTGAAGATGATGATCACCAGAAGAAGTGTGATGAATATGAGCAAGAGGCCACTGAGGAGCACAGGATTGCCCAGGAACGAGTGGCAAGTCACCTGCAAGAGCGAGCGGGAGAAACTCCATCAGCAACAACTGACAGGTCATCTGCTGCTTCAAGGGCTCGGGTGCAGCATACCACCAGAATGGCAGAAGTTGAGGATAAGGTACGTGAGCTGGAGTTACAGCAGCTGCAACGTCGCCTCGAGAGAGAGGAGGAAGAACAGAAGATGCAGCGAGCAAGACAACTGCAAGAGAAACAAGATGCCCTGCAGGCTGCTCGTCTTAAGACAGAGTTAACCAAGGCAGCTGAAAGTGAGCTGACATGGGACAGGAAAGAAGACTTCAATGAAGAGAATGAGAGACGTCCAGAAGGAAATCAGAAGAGAGATGAAGAACACAGAACAGACCTTCCTGTACCTAATCCCAACCCTGATCCTGCCAGCCAACTGTTCCGACAGAGCCTGCCTCGTCTCAGGCTTCCCACTTTCAGCGGAGCAGTGGAGGAGTTTCCAAGATGGTACTCGATCTTCTCAACACTGGTGGAGCAGCAGAATCTGAGTGCCAATGAGAAGATGGCACATCTGCAGAATGCAGTCACTGGAGCAGCAAGAGCCATCATAGTTCCCTGAGCGCGGCGCCGGCGGCCGCACGTGCTCGGGTGCTCTCCTGTCTTCCGCGCCCACCCGCGTGCCTTATCCAGTGTGAAAGGCTAAGTGCGATTGCGAGTGATTGTGTGATTGAGTGATTAGTGACTGCAGTGCGAGTGAAACCCGTTTGCATTACACTGCAAACATCATGCACCGAGATCTGCTACGGTCGTTGGTGGTGTTAGCTGTCGCCCACACGCTAGTTAGCGTAACCGCTCCTGCGCCGGCTCCGTGGCGGCCGGCCCGGCGTCTGCCCTTGGGCGACACATTCCATCGGCGAGCTGACCCCGTCCCCTATGACGTCAGTGACCAGCTGATAACACGTCACCAGCGTGCTGCGCGCGCAGGCGGGGTCACCCCGCTAAGCGGAGCGGCCGCCCCTCCCCACCGGCCGGCTGGCCCGGCGCCGCGGCGCACGCGCCGTGGGAAGAGGTCAAGGGCGCGCGGCTGCAGGGGCGGCGTGAGGTGGCGACAACCGGGGATCCAGCCATCGGGCCAACTCCTGATAGGACATCTGAACATACAATCGATTAAGCCCAAACTACCCGAACTTAGACAAGAACTACACGGAGTGTACGGCTTTGACATTTTTGTCGTGTGTGAAACTTGGCTACGGCCGAGCATTCCAGACCGGCTAATGACAGTAACCGGATACAGACTTTATCGTCAAGACAGACCTTCTTCTTCGCGGCAGCCCAGCGGATTCGGCGGCGTTGCTGTGCTTGTGCGTGAGAGCATCAGCTGTGAGGTGGTACCGACGCCGGACACCGGTATACCCACTTCAAATCTGGAAATATTGTGGGTTCTAATACGAACCAGCAAGCATTACCAATTGTTGATTGCATCCGTCTACCGTGTCCCCTCGAGCGCTGCCGCGCAGGTGATTGCCGATCTTGATGATTTTGAGCAACAACTGCAGCACATGATGGTTAACTACCCGAACGCGACAGTCCTTATTGCTGGCGACTTTAATATGTGCCTTCTCAAAACCGGAGGGCGCGGCGGCGAACATCAGCTTCTGTCGCTGCTGAATACGTACGGTATTCATGTCACCAACCGGACTATTCCTACCTACCGACCCGCCTCAAGCCTGCTTGATGTTGTCGGCATCAGTAAACCGGCACAGCTGCAGCGAGTGGGCGTAACGCGCTGTCATTATGGCGGTCCCCATGATATTACCCGTGTCATGGTTGATTGTCGAATGGGGAATGTGCATACTGGCAGTAAATACGTGCTGCGACGTTCACTGGGGAGGGTCGACTCTGCCTCATTCAGTGAAACCTTACGACACACCGACTGGTCTCCTGTGTGGTTCAGTTACGGCCCTGAGCGCAAGTGGTACGAGTTTAAGCGCATCTTCCTAGCTGCACTAGATAGAATAGCACCGCTCCGGCGCTCTCGGTTGCGAACGAACCGGGGGCCGCCCACGTCGGCTGGCACTGCGCGCCTGCTGAAACAGCGCCGCGCCGCACTAGATGGAGGAGACCGCGGCTTGTACCGAGAGATCAACAGACAGTGCCGTGCCGCTGTCCGCAAAGATTCTCGCGAGTATTACCAGCGCGAGATCGACAAAGGTAGTCGCGCTAGCCTGTGGCGCATCTTAACGCCTGTCATTGGAAGGAAGAAAACTCCGACCGAACCACCCAACATGACGCCTGATGCCCTAAACAGATATTATGTCACAGTAGGACCAACCACCGCTGCCAGCGTTCCTGCTGCACCTGAACCAGTACATACGCGGCTGCCACGTGTGACGACCGCCTCGTTTAGGGTTCGACCAGTCGATCTCGACACCTTGATTGCAACTCTGCTCTCCATGAAACCGTCTGCCACAACCACAGATGATGGAATTAGCATTGTCATGCTGCAGAAATATTTCACGGGTTTCAGCGAAGTCCTACTAGATGTTGTCAATTCATGCCTGCACACCGCCCAGTTTCCTACGTCATGGAAACACGCTCATGTTATCCCGATTCCTAAAGTGAAAGCCCCCAAGACTCCTTCTGACACCCGCCCGATCTCTATCCTGCCCGCTATATCGAAATTGGTCGAAAAACTCGTACAAAGGCAACTGGTTGAGTACCTAGAGATCCATCACTTATTGTCAGAGCAACAACACGGTTACCGTAGACACCATTCGACAGAGACAGCTCTCAGTGTCATTACAGACAGGGTATTAAGGGCCATGGATCACGGAGAAGTATCGGTTCTCACCCTCCTAGATCAGTCGAAATGCTTCGACATTGTACCTCACCAGATTCTTTTGGACAAAATGAACACATACGGGATTGATACAGAATGGTTTCAGAACTACCTAGAGGGGCACACGCAGCAGGTAGTGATACGTCGCACTGACGGCGCAGTTCTCACATCGGCGTCCAAACCAAACAGACTTGGAGTCTATCAGGGCGGTTCACTAAGCTGTTTGCTCTACACGCTTTTCTCAAACGACCTGGGCCTGCATGTGCCGGATGATGTTACCATTGTACAATACGCCGATGACGTGCAGATTTTGACGAGTGGCAAGAAGAAGGACATGGACGTGTTAAAGGCTCGCATGGAACAATCTCTTGGAACACTATACCACTGGTTTTGTCAACATAGGATGAAACTTAACGAGGCGAAAACACAAATGATAGTGATGGGAACTCCTGCAATGCTAAGAGGAATGGAGTCTTTCGTGTTGGAATTCAACGGAGCTCAGATCCAGGCGACAAGTGTTGTAAAAAATCTAGGTGTCACATTTGATTCGCATTTAAAATTCACTGAACACATTGGCTCGGTGGCAAAAAGATGCACGGGCATGTTGATGGCACTGAATCACGCGAAACACGCAATACCTAAGAGCGTACTGCCTTGTCTAGTGCAGGCTCTCGTCATTTCTGTCGTGCGCTACTGTATGTCTGTGTATGGTACGTGTAACGGCACGCAGCTCCACCGGATTCAGAAGCTTCTAAACTTCTGTGCTCGTGTGGTCAGCGGAAGGACAAGGCGAGAACATGTCTCGGATGTATTTCAACGCTTAGGGTGGATGGATGCCAAGCAGCTTGTCATGTACCACACTGCCTGTACTGTTCAGTCGACGATTACCACTGGACAACCAGAGGCTCTGCTCAGCACCATCGGGCGTCCATCAAACATGCACCATGACCATGCCACCAGAAATGCTGGTCGAATAACGTTACCACGTATCCGTACAGAAACCGGTAAACGTCGCCTGTGTTACCGCGGTGTGACTATCATCAATGAACTGGGGCTCGATCCCGGTATCACAAATTTTAAAAGACACCTAAAAAGTGTGATCATGTCTCAACCGCCTTGAAACGCTCGTTTTACGCGTCATTGTCTGGATGTCTATATGATAGTCTGTATATGAATGCATGTGATGTGCTTGTCCCTGCTATATCCCTTGTCAATTGACGTGCAATGGTGAAAAGCCACCGTGCTGTGGACTTATTGCTAATAAACGAATCTGAATCTGAATCTGAATCTGAATCGGAGGGATGGTGTGTGATGGAAGCTCCTTTGAAGATGCTCTCCAAGCACTCAAAGAAAGGTATGGCAGAGACATTGATGTAGTTCAGATGACCCTCAAGACTGTGTTTTCGTGTCCAGCTCCCAAGCCGTTCGATGCCAGATCTCTGGAGAGATATTATGGAGCAGTTCATGGTGCTACAACTACATTGAAGAGACTGGGATATGAGGGTGACCTGCAGTCTTGTGAGAACCTGCGTCGTCTCCTGAGCAAACTGCCAGCTGACATGCGGAAAGCGTGGGCTGAACACTCCCTGAGACTGGTGCGACCTACCCTGCTGGAGTTCGACCAGTGGCTCCGTCTGCAGCTGCGCATCCAGCTGAGCTGTGAGGCAGCTGCGCCTGCACCCAGTCAGCAGAAGAGGACAGCTGGGATGTTCCTCACCACGAAGACGGCAAGCACCTCAGGTGAGAAGAGATGTGTCCTCTGTGGTGAAAGTCATGGGCTGTGGGCTTGCGAGCAGTTCAAGGCACTGACTGCTGATGAGCGTGCACGAGTTGTGGCTGAGGCTATGTTTCTCCGGGCTATGTTTTGCAAGTCTGGCAGCGAATTGGGGCAACTTGGTAGGGGCCTAGACGAAATGTACAATCTTCGTAAAAAGTTCAGTGTATGGGCTCCCGGAGGCGATCTACCTTATGGCACCGGTCGCTACTCGCTAAGAAGTCTTTTGCGCGTGGCACGTGCGATTCCATTTTCCCCATGTTAAGTCAACGGGGTTTTGGACACTTTTTGCGCGATCGCGAATGGCGGGAAAACGAGCCAAGAAAGGGGTGGTTTTCATCCCAGCATTTTATGGCAAACACGTTTGGGTACACGCTAGTGTGCGCTGTATACCCCTCAGAATCTCGGAACGTGTCTTTGCACGAGGTCAAAGTTGGAATTTTGCTGTGTCCCATGTTAAGTCAATGGACGGCGATGTCGAGACTTTGCAGAGACATTTTCATTCGATCTTTGTACAAAATTTTAGAGATAGATTTCGCCCAAACTCTTATATCTTGTAGAGGAAAGAGCATAGTACTTGCCGTTATGCTTCGTTAAGGTGGCAAAACTCATTTTTTCTTTTAAAGTTAATTTGAAATTTAAAATAAAGCTCTAGCTCCATCAGGGGCCAAACGCGAGGCGGGGGGTCGTACCCCCTTGTGCCGTCGAAAAACTCAAAATGGCCTGTGCCGGCGAGGGTTAAGGGTCAGGTCGCCAGGTCACTTGAAGTGACCTCACCTCATAAAAAGTTTCAATGTCTGCCATAGCTACTTAGAGTGACCGATCGCTTTGAAACTTTCAGCGATTGCTAAGAGCAATAGCATGTACAAAATGTTTATCTCAGAATTTTGATATCGATGACCTAAGGTCAGGTCCATTTTGCGACCTCCCCATATTATAAGTCAATGGGAGAAAATTGAAATGCGCCTCTTTTGGACGAAAGACATTATAAACACTCCCAAGCACT